CTCATGATTTAATAATGTGTCTAACTGTCTCAAAATTCTTATGAACTTAATAATCATCACATTGTTTTAGTGATTCATAACCGGAACAGAGCCAAGGCACTGGGCTGCTGGACTGGACGAGTACAAAGAATATTTTTTTGAGAAAAAATGTTAGGCCCGTATGCATTAATTAATTATGTGGGCTAAGGGCTTAGTTTTTAGTCTTAGAGTAGCCTTGTATGTGTATATATATTTAACATCTTGTAAAGAATTAACACACATGATTTTACTCTAATTAATCCCAAAACTATTCAGCATGGCATCAGAGCCCTAGAGGGGCTACGCGACTCATACCTCCGTCGACGCCAAAACAGCACCAGCGTGCTCAGTGACGGCAGCCGAGATGGATTCGACCTCGCCATACTACCTCGGCTCCAGGATCAACCCGGTAATCTCATTACACACGTCATCTTCAAGGGGGATAATTATGTGACGTGGTCACATGCTATCTCCTTGTCGTTGAAGGCCCGTCGCAAGTTTGGGTTTGTTGATGGAACCATTACGGAACCTACCAAAGCGACGAAGAAACTTGGCTGGGACACCGTCAACTCCATGGTGGTGTCGTGGCTGTTGAGAAGCATGGAACTGGCAGTGGCGTCCTCCATCCCCTTCCACAAAGAAGCTCGCTCTCTGTGGGTTTATTTGGAGAAGCGTTATAGCGTTGCTAACGGGCCCAGGCTGCAACAATTGAGGGCGTCGATCACGACGTGCAAACAGTCCAAAACTATGAGCGTTGATAGCTATTATATGGTCCTTATGAGCTTATACGACGAGCTCAACGAATTGAAGACGCTACACGCGTGTACTTGAGGCCGGTGCACGTGCGGCGTGGTGAAAAAAATTTGCTGACGACTAAGAAGAAGAACAGTTTCATCAATTCCTCATTGAAATAGATGACGAAGTGTTTGGAACAGTCTGATCTAATCTTCTTTCTCAAACACCTCTGCCCGACCTGAACCGAGCTCACCAAGCATTCCTTCAACAAGAAAATTCTTGGGCGATTGCACGCGGGAAGGTTGTTGTGACGGATGTGCAGGCGTTCGCACTTCAGGTTGATCGCGCAGGGAAGGGACGGTCGGATAAACAGGAGTGTAATAGACCCATGTGCACTCATTGTAAACAGAAAGGCCATGAAGTGAGTACTTGTTTCAAGTTGCACAGGTACCCTGATTGGTGGGAAGATCGGAATAAAAATAAAGGGACTGCCGGCGGGGCTACCGGCAGCCGTGGAGGGGGGGGGGGGGGGTCTGAATGCATGCCATATCTCCAAAACTGCTTCCAGCGGGTGAGAGTGGCTCCTCCTCCCGTGGTGGGGCGAACGGATTAGCTACGTTGAGTAACGAGCAAGTTTTGGCCTTCTTAAACTTAATTAATGCTGATACTCGCTCATGTGATCGGATGTAGGGTAAGCACATTTTACTTGATTGGATTATTGACACTCGTGCATGTCATCATGTCACGAGTGATTTTACTTGTCTTGTTGATCCCACATGTATTGCTGCCGGTCCGGTTGGACTTCTAGATGGCAGAATTGTTGCCGCCATATTGCAGGGCCGTGTACCCCTGTCCAAAAACCTTATTTTGGATCATGTTCTTTATGTGTCGGGTCTCATTTGTCGACCTTTTTTAGTTTCCAAATTTACCCTCACCCTTACCCCGATCCTGCTCCTACCGCTAACCCACCCACCTAACCTACCTCTACCCACCGGCCCACCCCTTACCTCCACCCCACCCGACCCCACCTCGACCACTAACCCCACCCCTACCCCTAACCTACCCTACCTTACCTCGACCGCGACTCCGACCCCACCCCTACCTGACCCCTAACCCCAACCCTACACCTACCCACCCCTAGCCTTTACCCCTAACCCCCTACCCTTTGTTTACCATAACGCGATTCCAGTCCTACACCCTACCCCCTAACCTTGCTTACCCTTACCACGACCCTACCCCTTCCACGGTCATACCCCTATACACTACTCCTACCCCTAACCTAACCTATCCCCACCCTTACCCTGACCGTAGGGTAGGGGTAGGGGTACGAACGAGTGTATTGGTCAAGCTAGGGGGTAAGGGTAAGGAAGGGTACGAGTACGAGGTAGAGGGTAAGGGGGTAGGGTACATGGATCAGGGGTGCTAGTAAGAGGTCGTGATAGGGGTAGGGGTCAAGGGGTAGGGTGTGAAATTGGGTGTAGGGTGTAGGGTAGGGGTTGGGGTTGGGGCGAGTATGTGTAGGGGTAGGGGGTAGGGGTAGGATGCAGATGAGGTGGCTCCAATGTATTATATTATATACTTGTGTACATGAATGTTTGTGTGTTTGTATATGTATGAGCTTATTTTGGACATTTAAATGTTAAACGGTGCTTTAAATCTTTTGAAGTAAACATGAGCTTACATCACTGCTTATTTTATGCGTCGCTAATTAACATGAGTCTTAATAAGCATCGTTTGTTAACAGATGAAGTAAATGTGTCCTTAGCATATCAATCGCAGTCTAGACTTTATATTACTACCCGAGTTACCATCAATTTATATATCCAAGCCTCAAACCGTGGATGCCTTCTCCACTTCAAATGACCATGCACGACATGCCATTTCTCATTCACAAGACGTATTAATTCCATTTTCCTATTCATGTCAATTTATTTAATTGAATATGAATTCACAAATCATCTTATTTGTTCATCGCTAGTGCAACTAGCCCAATATTTGAAATGTCACATTTAATGATGCATCATTTCTTCATGAGAAAATTGCTCTTTGTAAGACCTAAATCAATGCAAGTTTATAAAAATAGAACTTGGTCATGTTTTTTCCATCCTGTGATTTACTTAATTCTATTTCAGGAAATTCTATTTTTTCCTTCCAATTTTACTCTAAAGCAATTCCGCTTAGATATCAGAAACTGCTCTCTTCTTCACCAAACCATTCCATATTTGGCAGCCCTCTTTTTCTTCATCTCAGCCGCCTGCAACTTTATCCACCTCCTCCGCCCGCAACTTTATCCACCCCGCCGCCCGCTAATTTCTCCACCTCCGCCACCCGCTACTTTCTCCACCTCTGCCGCCCCAAATCTTCCTCCAGCTCCTCCGGCTTCTTGCAGCGATTCCGGTGAAGACGGAGGTGCGACGATTCCGGCGAAGATGGAGGTGTGACTAGGGGTGGACTCGGGTCGGGCCAACCGGCCCGGAACCGGACCGGCCCGCTACTGTGCGGGTCCAGACCGGCCCGGTGAACCGGTTGGTTGGCCGGTTCGAGCCACCCGGCCCGGTGGGATCTCGGTTCGGGCTCGGGCCCTTCAAAAGGTGAACCGGCCCGGCCGGTTCGGGCCCGGGCCGGGCCAATTTTGTTTTTTTTTTGTTGAATTTTTTTTAAGTTTTTGGGTTGGGCTGGGTATTTTGGGCCATTTTAGGTGGTTAGGGTTGGTTTGGGGTGAGGGGGAGGGTTGGGGGTTAACTAGGAAAAGCCAAAAAAAAAATATAACCGAGGCGCGGCCCGGCCCGGACCCGGGGGTTACCCGGGCCGGTTCCGGGCCTCCCATACCTTGAACTGAGGCCCGGCCGGTTCAAGGACCGAACCGGGCCCGGCCCGAACCGAGTCCATCCCTAGGTGTGACGAAGAAGAGAGATGCGGCGTCTGGTGAAGAAGAGAGTTGCGGCGTCCGACGAAGAAGTGAGAGGTCGGCGAGGAAGCGAAATGGCAGATCCGAAGTTGCAAAGGAAGAAGATGAGAGGCGTGAGCTGATACGCAATCCAGATTCCAGAATTAGGGCGGCGGTGCACCAGGCCCTTCTTATTCTCCCCTCCTTCTTGCGGTTCGGAGCATTAGACTGATTGCTTTCCAAAATTTATTGTTTATTTATTGTCTACATATTGTCTATTTATTGTCTATTTAATGTCTGTTATTTTCTAAAAGTAAGGGTATTATGATCAATGCAGATGTAGTTGAGTTTTACGCTAATCTTGGATCTTAGTTTTGGAAAATCAGTAGGTTTTGCTCCTACTTGTTGAAATCTCCCTTTCTTCATAAACTCATTAGTCGTGCCTCATTTCTTCATAGACGATAGTATCCTAATTTTATACGAGTATGTTTTAAGCATTTTAATTAAAGAAAATCATGTTTTAATACTTTAGGTGTTCTCTTGAACTATCTCACTAGTTAAGTTGTGTGTTCTCATTATTCTTGTTTCTACGCTAATAACTATAGCAAATAAAGTAATACCATCAAACGGTGAGAAGGTTTTCAACAACAAATGTTGTGAATAAATGAATAGTTTAGCATAACAATACTTCATCACATGAAAAAGAATATACTCCGGAGAGGTAACTCAATTGGTTGAGTGATTGAAAATTTGAAACAATAACCAAGGTTCGAAACCCGTAACAATCGTGTGGAGGTTATGTGTCCTGTGTGCAGGGCTGAAACTCTGTTGCGACTACCGAGTCACCGTGACTTACATTCTCCCGTATGCCTTGTTGGGTCGGGGCGTGGAAGGCCCTTGAGGTCAGGGATTCAACCTTTTTTCAGAACAATGAAAAGAATATATAGGCACATGGCTCAAAGAGTGGCTATAAGAACTCGTTAAGTTGGACTTATTTCAAACAAAATCAAATCAGTCCATTTCAATCAAAGCATCTGAAACCTAAAACATGATTCCCAATTGGATTGTAGATATATTGTAGAGATTAATAGTCTAAATTGCTTAAACGTGAAGAATCCAACTTTATGTCAAGTAGATTAGATATAGTCAGTTTCTAATGATCACAACCAACCATCTCCTCTTTTATTGTCTATCTTGTCGCTGTCTCAACCACCGTCTACCTGGCCAGTTGGCGCCTTTAAAATCTTTTATGGAAATCATAATGCTGGGAAAAAGATACTATAAGTTCCCTAAAACAAAATGAGATAATTCCCTATAAAAAGAAGAAAATGAGATGACCATTTAAAAAGAACAAAGACATTTAGAAGCTAATTTGGAAATACAAAAGATTAAATAGAGTATCCTATTATTATTATTAACCATACACATCCTTTGCCTTTCTATACTCAGTTACTCACATAATTTTTTACTCATTACCATATATACATACGCGCAGACTACAAAATACAAACTTTGTGTCAAGTCATTTCACATAGAAAAAATTATCAAGCCAAATTGGTAAAAAAAGCTAAGCTTGAGGAGAGACTCTCATGTGCTACTCCACCTCATCTAACACGTTGCGACTTCTTACTAGAAGGCGACGTATCCCGCTTTCTGACATGGTCATAACTGGTTTTATGCTCCTGTTGGGAGGTTTTAGAAGAAGAGCCTTTTGGGGCTTGGAGTTGTTCAAGCTCTTCCAGAACTTCAGACATACGCGGCCTAAGCTTATGTTCTGGGCTTAGACACCGCTGGGCAAGGCTTGCAGCTACAATTGCTGCTTTCTGAGGGTACTGTCCCTCCAATTTAGTGTCCATGATCCTAAACAGCTTCCTCTTGTCCCCCAAATATGGCTTGACCCAATCCACGAGATACTGCTCTACACCGTGTTTAGAGTTGTCTACGGCACGGCGCCCCGACAATAATTCAAGCATCACGACTCCAAAGCTATAAACGTCACTTTTTGCCGTCAACCGACCTGTGTGTTTTTTGAGTTGGCATATTTTGAGTTGGTATATTAGTTGGATGTTACAATGTATAGACGTAAGACAGTGCTATTTCTAATTACAGCAACCATAATCATAATTGAAGTACTGTGATTTAAAATATCATCCAAAAAGATTTAACATAAATGAAAAGTTTTATACATAGATTTGTCTCCTTGTTTTGTAGAATGCAGGATGACTTAACCCGCCATACAAAATAGCGACTCATTAGAGCATATTAATTTCAAAGCCTCGTTAGAAGTTTAGTGACCTGTTTGATTTTAGTGACTTTGACAACATATCATTGAAATCAAGATTTGAGATGTAACTTCAAGGTCTTATATGTTAATTTGTACTATCGTATTTTTATATTTGTCATATATCAGATGACATAACACACTGCACACCTAAAACAAGGCTTAATTTCGTAAATACGTTTCAACTCCTTGCAAACATAAAGCACCTTCATATATCAGATGACATAACACACTGCACACCTAAAACAAGGCTTAATTTCGTAAATACGTTTCAACTCCTTGCAAACATATAGCACCTTCATTTAGATCTCTTTGCTTGTTTTCTTTCGATTGTTACAATATACGTAGTATGTTATTTTCTTTTCAGTCTCTATTCAACTCTAGGATGATCTCTATTTTGAAACATAATAATGATATAATAATGTCACTCACATAACTCCCCTCTGATCTCTCCATGCCAACTTTTTACAATCTTTTGAATTTCAAATTAAAAATAGCATTCTAAGTATGATTTTTAGATTATGAGGTGATAGAATAAGAATACTAACTATGATGTTTGAATTGTAAGGGAAGTAGGGCAGAACGGACCTGTAGCTACATATTCTGGTGCTGCATAGCCCTGTGTACCCATTACTCGAGTAGACACATGAGTGCGATCACCTGTCGGGCCATCCTTAGCCAAACCGAAATCAGACAGCTTGGCATTGAATTCCTGCAATCAATTCCAATCAAAGTAACATTCAAAACCCTTCAGGATAGCTTCTCCTTAATGAGTATGCTAAACAGGTCCACCCCATCCTCTCTCGGTGTTTAATTAGTTTAATGCCAGATTTAGTCTACAAATTTTGTTCCCATTGCAGAACTACAACTGTTCGAACCAGAAACAAAAAAAACAATTTTACAAGCAAAGCTGAGGGAATGAATTGTTTATATAAATAAAACACACCGTGTCAAGAAGAATATTAGCTGCTTTAAAATCACGATATATAACAGGCTCTTCAGCATCATGCAGGAAAGCAAGGCCTCTAGCAGCACCAATAGCTACCTTGATCCTGGTGGCCCAACTCAGTGGCTGTGAGCCCCCTACAAATTTATGTCCAAAAATAAGACTATGATCAACTAGCCATTTTAGATCCAAACTTATAATAGATGTTTTCGTGATATTGAGAAACATAAGGGTTTATTAATATAGAAATGAGTCATACATCTCGAATGAGAATCACATTATTACTAGGAAAAGGTTTAAGAAATGATAAAAGAAAGAGATATTACTAAATATCCATATTTAAGTAGTACTGTATAAGCCAATGGATGAATGGAAGCAACGTTATGGAAATGTATTTAACCCATGGTTGTTCAACTGGTAACTACAGCACCCGAACAAACCATACTGAGAGATTGAATTCATACATTTAACTATTGTATGAACTCATGTATGTCTCTTGGTGTTTAATATTTCTCTTGGGACACTTGATCAATTCAAGATAACTAGTGTTATAATTGAATAATAACAATAGTAATATAACAAGGAGAAAAGATTGTTTAGAGTGTGACATACTTCTAAAAAGATGATTCTCCAAGCTTCCTTTAGGCATGAATTCATAAACCAAGAGCCGGTTGTCTCCATCTGTGCAGTATCCAATAAGTTTAACCAGGTTTGGATGATGGAGTTGCCCGAGATAATTAACTTCAGTCTACAAGTTATCCGTTTGTTAGTCAAGAGGAAACCATTAAACCAATTGATAATAAGGCTCCATTAGTTTCTTGGCAAATATTTTCCTATAATATGTTTTCTGTATTTCTTGTGTTTGGCAGCAGATAATATTTTCGTGAGAAAAAATGCATTTCTGTGATTCTTTGAACTTTAGTTGAAATTGGTTCCCCATAACAGCCCCTCATTTTCATGAAATAGTTTACGCTCTGTTTGGAACTTGGAATACCAGAGAAATAAAGACGGAGTAAAAATCAAGTGGAAAACTGGAAGCAAAAAAGGAAAGATTAGCTCAAACTATAAAAAAAATGTCTAAGATTTTTTTTAGGAAATTCAATTATTGAAGGTGATTATATCAAGACATGAAAGCATAAATGTATAGAAAAAAATGTATTTTATTAATTAGGTATAATCATTTCTATCTTAATCGTGTATTGGTAAGCAATACGGAGTAGCATTATTCAAATGCATCTGCCCCCCTAAATGAATATACGTCCCCTCAATATTGTAAAATATTGTTTTCAAGGAAAATATTTTCCTCAACAAATAGTTAGGGAGCCTAAGGTTTTAAAAAATTCATATATAGGAGGGAATAAAAAGGTGAAATATATACCAGCCACTCTTTATGACCCTGAAATCCTTCCGGTTTCAGCTTCTTAACGGCAATGACAATCCCAGATCCAGGTCTTGTAGGGGTAAGAGTATGTTCATCGATCCATCCTTTGAATACATACCCAAACCCCCCTTCTCCTAGAAGGCTGTCCGGTCTGAAATTTCTGGTGGCATTTTTCAGCTCAAGAAATGTGAAGGCTTTCACATTTGGGGATAGTAATATTTCTCCTTCTGATCTTGGCGTGGAAAAGCTGTCCGTACTGTTTTTTCTACTAGATGATGGAATCTTTATGGCGGGAGGAACGTAAGAGATTTTCCTTTTGCTGGGAACTTCCAAGGTTTCAGAAGCTACATTTCCTAAAGAGAAACATACGAATACATTTAGCACAAAAACACTTAGCTGTTTGGTTGCGTTTAAGAGAAATGAAAGAAGAACCAGATGATGTAATCAATGTAAATTTATAGTTTAAATGGATAGATTACTTTCTAAACCAGGGGTAGACATAGTCCTGTTCCTGGTTCTGGTTTTGATCCCAAAATAACGAGTACCTTGACCTGACCGGGTTAAAGGCAGTCCTGTTCCAAGCCCGGTACAGGAATTTGCCGGTCTGGAACAATTTAGGAGCAGCCGTGTCCAGAATCACTCGTTGGTGTGGATTTCGATTAAAAATGTGGCCTGTCTGGGTATATATCTAATTTCAAACCAGGATAGTTTTATGCCTGCTATATACAATTCATTTGGTTTGAAGAACCTCTAATTTACTTTTTGTTTTGTATCACTCTTACGTCCAAAAGGTTGAATCCCCAACCCCAAGGGCCCCCCACCCCGACCCGACAGGATGGTGGGGGAGTAAATCACGGTGACTCAGTCGGCAAAGCGGCAGTAGGCCTTTACCCGTGCGCACCAGAGGGCCAGCCTTATTTCAGGTTCTGAAAACCCCCTTTTGGCCGCTGCGGGATTCGAACCTTGGTCTACGTTCAATTTTTCCCACCACTCGACCAACTGAGCTACCCGTGCGGATCGTTTTGTATCACTCTTAGTTGTCATTTTAGTTGTCTACTTTTAAAAAGTGATATGAATATATATTGTATAATGAGCTTAGAAAATGTCATGCTTATAGTAACCAAGTTGATTTTGAACAAGCCCTAGTGTAGTGCATTGCTAGAGAACGCTTATATTTTAAAATGCAGTTCTACACTTGTTACAAAATAAAATTCTAGCTTCTCTTTTTAGACAGTTCCATAATAAACTTCTGATTTCCTTTAAAGAAAGAGTTGCGTCTGGTATGATAATATTTTTTACTTTTAACCATACAACTCTTCTTTCTTATTTCATGTGTTGAAATAAAATCTAGAAGCTTATTAAGAGATGGAGGGAGTATAATTTAATTTGACACTATAAACTTATGAGTTATGACCTGTTTGGTAAGACCGTAAGAGCCATTTGGATCAAATCTATTGACTTTCATGAATGGAAAAGCTTTTTGATAACAACCATCTAAATGAAATAAATTAGAGTCAAAACCTGTTTATTTTTCTTAACATTTGCTGATAAGTACTTCATAGAATAATAAACAGAGTAAGAGCTCATTTAGCTTAACATCCTATCCTAATATGACTGAATCTTTCGAAATTCTTGAAATGGTAAGTATGGTAATATGGAGTATCTTATCATCCAAATAAGTACCTCCTCTATGCATCTGTTTCAGGTCAGGCCAAATTTGCAACACAGAATGTTACATTACTGACATAAAAAGCTAGTCTGGATCAGACCAGTTCAAGTCCTGGATCAAAAGTTGCTTATGAAAAACAAAAAACTTTCTGACCACCAAACGGAGCCTAAGGTATGGTCTACCAAACACAACCATAGCGTCACCCACTCACCCACTGACCCACACAACATAGTCGTGAGTTTGTGAGTAGGTGAAGGATGAGACTATGCCACTAAAAACTGGAAAGCAGTCAAGAACATAAAGAAACTAAGAAAGAAGTGATTTTGGCAATGAAAAACTTGATTTCACTCGAGAAATAATTCCAAGAATCATCATTTAATCAACTGTTAACACCCTTTAGATTAGAAAAGAAACAGAAAACACCACCACCTAAGAGTGGATTTCATGGCCAAAGACAGCAACTTTATGCCTCTAAAAGTTACACATTATTTGAAATCTTAAAAACCCAGTCTAAACCAAACAGATATGCATTAAAAAGAACTAAATTCAACCTCAGCCTTCAAGAAAAAAAAACATTTCTTAAAAACAAGAAAGAAAGCGCAAGAAACATGGGGAAAAATTGTAGGAAGTGTAAAGGGGGTACCAGAAGGGGCGAGAGAGCTCAGACTGGCATCAACTTTTGCTGAACAAGGAGCGCAATTCCCCATCACAATATGAACGCAACCCACCAGAAAGAGCAGCAACAGAGAATAAAAATCAGGGATATAAAATGGAATAAAAAATGCAAATAAACTACAAGGATGCTCTGGTCTGAGCTACCTAAAATGTGTGAAACGATATGGGTACAATAATATGTGTGTATATATAAATGAAACATCTAGCCTAGCTGTAGAGATAAGGAAGGACTAAAAGTGGGTTAGGTTTCTGAGAAGGTTCGGTAAATTCCGACAGAGAAAACGATGTTTAGAGAAAAGAAAAATAAACTGCTGGTAAAAATGGAGAAAACGTGAGGGAAACGGGATGCACGAGTAGAAAGAAGGACGTTGAGGACGCAAAGAAATGGCGGATGACCTTCCTTCTGCTTTCACTATCACTCATTAAGGCCCCGTTTGGGGGTCGGAAAAGTATTCCGTACTTAAATTTGTTTATTCGTTTTTATTTGGGTTCATTGCATCAATCCCATTTAAGAAATGTGTCAATGGTTCAATCCCATCCAAAGAAATGTGTCAAACATTTATGTATGATAACTAATTATAGACAAGATATCTTGTGATAATATGTGTCTGTTTGATGATTGTGTTTGAACGTAATAATCAAAACAATGTAAGTTAAAATGATTTTTCTGATTGCAATGATTGCAGTTATTGTAGATGAATATTTAAGTTCTTTTTCATTAAAAAAAATCTGTTTTACTAATAAAAAATATTTTAATTATATATTTTTCTAAAATCAACAGAATTAACTAATCCAATTATTTTAGTCAGAAATTCATAAATTTCAATAGAATTTAGCTGATTCTGCCAAACTAATTTAGCTATAAGTTGTCTTTTTAGTTCTTATCATTAATGGAAAATTGAAACTAACACTATCAGATTATTTTCAAAGAGAAAAAGAATAAATCAAGAAAAATAATTTTATACATTTATTTAAGGTTCTATAGATAGGTGAATAAAAATAAAATCACGTCTCAACATCACACGATAATTTTGAGGTAAATGATTAAAAAGAAAATGCAAATATTGATGTAAATAATGATGACAATGGAATTAAAAATACGAGTGAGCGTGGTGTAAGTGGGACTAATAAATATCTCAACATAAATAATGACAAGAATAATGTCAATGGTCCAAACTCCAAATAAGAAAGTATATGGCCCACGAAATAAGGTACTCCCTCCGTCTCGGAATTATCTTCATTCTTTCCTTTTCGGTCTGTCCCAAATTTATCTCCTTTTTCCTTTTTTGGCAAAGAATTTGTGGTTCACAACCATTCTTACACATTTCTCTTTCCTCTGCACAACTCTCTATCACACATTTCCCACTATCTTAAAACTCGTGCCCAGTCAAATAAGGAGATAATTCTGGGACGGAGGTAGTATTATGTATAGAGGGGCAAATTATACGGTACGACCGGCATACCATGCACATGGTATGCCGGATCTGGTACGGCACCGTTTTGCTAATTAAAATCAATCTGAAATCCTCCTCTCCAATCCTTTGGCCAGCTGCGAGTCTTCTTACTTATCCGTCACTGCAGCTGGGTGTTTCTCCTTCGTTTTTATTTCTCCTTTTCAATTCCCACGCAAAGAACCAAAGACTACCTCCTCCACACCCAATTGTCATGTAGTCCGGTATGGGATCTGCCATAATATGATACACGTCCACATGCGGATTTGTCTTTACATTGAGAAGGAACAAAATTTTATCCATAAAAAATAACATAAACACATTTATTGGTCAAATAAAATAAACATACCATACGGAAAAATGATTTTTCTTTAAAACATATTTAATTTAAATTAGTTGAACAATTAAACTTCTTATTTTCATTGTTTACATTTGATATTATATGAAGTTACATTTTAAGGGAAACCGAACTATCGAACTATTTTAAAATTGTGTATATAAAAAATTTATTGTATTATGTATTTATACATGTGAGTTACATATTTTTATACGTAAAATTACATATTTTTACACGTAAAATTACATATTTATACACACGAGTTGCATTTGGCTTGCCTGAACGCGAGTTACATATTTTTACACGTAAAGTTACATATTTTTACATGTAAAGTTACATATTTATACACGCGGGTTACATATTTATACACACCAGTTGTATTTGACCTGTCTGAACGCGAGTTACATATTTTTACACGTAAAGTTACATATTTTTACACGTATCGTTACATATTTATACATACGAGTTGCATTTGGCCTGACTGGACGTGAGTTACATATTTCGACACGTAAAATTCCATATTTTGCATAGGTTAATATAATAGTTCGATAATATGTTAAAATTACATAGGCAATATTGGTCTCATTTGAAAGATCATGCAAAATAAAAAAATTTGATATAAATTTTATAAAAACCAGATCACAAATGAAAAAGTTATTATAGTTTTTAACAATAAGAGAAATAAATAAATAATAGGACCCACTATCATTTTAATACATGTTTCATGCCGAGCTAACAAAAATGCTTAAAAACTGTATGCCTGTATACGGTGCTCACTGTATACCGGTCATACGGTATAACAACTGGTATAGAGGTTTGTACTTTATTTTCATACTCTCTCCGTCCATTAAAACTTTGTCAACTTTCCTTTTTTGGATGTCTCACTTTCCCTATTAAGTAAAAAATTTGTGGTTCCAGTTAATTCTCTCCCATCTACACAAACCTTAACCACACATTTTTTACTTTATTAATCCTTGTTCCGGTCAAACTTGGCAAAGTTTTAAGGGACGTAGGAAGTAACTTTGAGTAGTGTTTGTTATTCGTCCTATAATTTTACTCATTACTTGCGTAATTTATTCCACACCTAATAGAGCTTTACTATTCAAGGACTTTTACACGGAAAAGTACACTTTCCAATAAAAATTCAACATCAATGACATTTTCTGACAAATTTTCTGACAGAAAGTCTACTTTGCAGTGGAAATGTCTTTAAATTGCAAAGATTTTAGTAGTTATAAGAAATTTAGAAATATGTGAAGTTTAACGGGCACAATCAAATGTTACATGACTAAAATCGCATATATCCTCAATATGCACCATCGTCGTCGTCATTACCCCAGCGCCGTAGAGCCACCTACAATGGGGTAAGGGGTGTCGGATGTACACAGTCTTACCTTCCGCTTTAAAGCACATAAAGACTGTTTCCGAATGAACTATAGTGAAAATCACGTCAAAAATTGCATGCACTGACTCATGTTTTATAAAAACAAGCGCACATATATAGTTTAGTGATTCATTTTGCTTTATTCCATTATATCCCTAACTCAAAAAATAGTGAGCATTTGACTCCATTGCAACTATCGTACCATTATAAATCAAATTACAATTTTTAGTAAAAAAAACCGAAAACCACAACCGAACCAAAACAAAACGAACTAATCAAACCATGGTCTGAAGTTTTGAAAAGTAAAACGAACTTTCTTCTTTGATTCCACATTTGGTTTTTGGTCAAAATTCAGAACTCACCCCCTAATGAAGATTGGACTTGTGGAGTAGTTATTATTAATGGACCCTTGCTCGGAGGGTCATTTAAGGACCTTAGCTTCACAGTCTGCCTCCTCAGGTGACAGGTCATGGCTTAGATGAAGACTCAGACACAGTAGAAAGCCGGATAAGAAAGAGGAAGTCAACTTTTGAGATGGACCCAAACCAACCAAGTGGTGCAAAATGGCTCTTGCATTATGCTCTCAAACGCTCAGAGCCATGTTCCCACAAGTCACAGCAATCAATTGCTCGTGGGGATGGTAGGATCCTTTTGACTCATAGCACAAATTTTTATATCGTACGGAGTAATTACTAAGCAACAAATTAATGATCATGTTGCTTATTACCTACTCTTTCAAACTTTGTCAAATTTACTTTTTTGGATGTTCCACAAATTTTGTCATTTTTCCTTTTAAATAAAGAATTTGTGGTTCCAGTTAATTCTCTCCTCTGCGCAAACCTCAAACACACATGTTTTACTTTAGAGTTAATTATCAAAATAGGACTAAAAGTCATTTACTTTTCACAAATAGGACCAAAAAATAAATTATGTTTGCATAGGACTAATTATGTGTACCTTGGACAATTATACCCTTATAGCTATTAAAATGTTTTAATTCCTAATAAAATAATAAAAAATAATAAAAATTCGTAAAAAATACTAAAAAATTAAGAAAACATTTCGATATTAAAAATCTAATTAATTTTTTTTCAAAAAATTAAAAAAAATTAAAAATAAAAATAAAAACTCAAAAAAAAAATCGTCGCCGCCTCTGCCGCCTCAGCACCACCACCTCCAGTCACCAGGGGAAAAAATGCCAAGTTCATTACGAATGCCATATTTATGGCAGAAAAAATGAAAATGTTGGCATTCGAAAAGAGAAATATGCCAATTTTTTGGCATTTTCAGAAAAAAATGGCATTTTTCTGAGAAAATGGCATTTTTTTCATCGGCCGGAGGTGGTGGTGCTGGGAGGTAGTACAGGCGGTGGGAAAGGCATCCATATTTTTTTAAATTTTTTTTACGGAGTTTTACTATTTTTTATTAATTTTTTTAAAAATAAAATTATTTAAAAAAAAAATTTTTGAATTTTTTATTTTATAAAATTTTCTAAAATTTTTAATTATATTTCTACGAATTTTTGAATTTTTTTCGAATTTATTATGAATTAAACATTTAATTATGGCTTTTGACTTTTTTTAATTCATATTTAATGGAAGGGTAAGAATGGAATGCAAAAATAGGTATGTTTCGAATAGGACTCATATGGTCCTATTTTAGAATAAAAACATAGCAAGTCCTATTTTAGGTTTTTGCCATAGTTTTAGTCCTATTTGAACTAATTTCTATTTACTTTATTAATCTTTGTGCCGATCAAACTTGGCAAAGTTTTAAGAGACGGAGGGAGTATTATATTTTAATTTAATATAATATTCAAGAGATCCAACCGTGAACATTTAGATTAGATCAAAAGTGTTAGATTAGATGTGACATTAATAGTCTCTTTGATAACACTGAAATTAGCTGAATCATGCTAATTTATGAAAAATATATTTAAAATATATTATATTAGTAAAATAAAGGAAATATGTATGAACAATAACTAAAATGATCCTTTACAGTAACTTAAGCCAATTCAGACAGAAAAGTAACTCTAACTTTACTCTATTGTGATAATTAAACAATTCAGAGCCTAAAACAGAAGTTACATATTTTCTGGAAAAAATTGTTGATAAAGTTAATAAGCCGAAAAACAATGTCACCAAACAGGCTCTAAAAGTTCATTACAATTATAAGGGAAAAGTACAAAAAATGTACATATGTTTTAGGTCATTTTCATATATGGGTACGTGTTTCATTTTTTTAACAAAGTATG